GGCAGTGTACAAGAGGCCAAAGGCATTAATTATTATCTTCTGGGAACTACAGGTTCATGCAGATAGTAACTTTTGTGATATGGTCAAATATATAGTTGGACGTTACAACATAATACTTTACCCTTGGCTCTGGGACATTATCTTTCATAGTAACCACAAGGGCAGTCACATGTTATCAGTACTTTATCACAGGTCATATTACAACTACAGAAAGGTAAAATATGACTCGCATTGATCTTGTCTCAGAAATATGGGGGCTCACAAGTTCTTGGTCATCACTGCACATTTATCAAGTGGCTGCCAACAGCCCTGGCCATGGTGGAAAAAGTACCAAAGGAAATGTGAGGCACTATTGTGGCCCTTCCATTTTAAAAAACTGAGTTAAGACAACAAACCTAAAACTCCAGAAAAATTTAAAGTATGATAATAAATAACCCAGTATTAATCCCTATAGATTGAATGCTAAGCTTGACAGGACCTAAATTCAACATGGATATAGCATCAGACTTTAGACTACAGAATTTGATTTTTTTTTTTCTATAAAGGACCTTAATGATGATCCAATACCTTCACTTTACTGATGTGATCTAGAGACCCAATTAATACAAATAGAATCTTTCTTATCTTCAGAGTAGCATATTTTTTAATGTGTGAATGTAAGAAGTGTTCTAGTAGTCTTTTAAAAGTATTTATAAGGGCACCTGGGTGGCTCAGTGGTTGCATGTCTGCCTTCGGCTCAGGGCGTGATCCTGGGATGGAGTGCTGCATCAGGATCCCCATAGGGAGCCTGCTTCTCCCTCTACCTATGTCTCTGTCTCTCTTTGTGTCTCTTCTGAATAAATAAGTAAATAAAAATATTTTAAAAATAAAAGCATTTATATACTTTTGTAGAAAGTATATAAATGTATTAATTAATCCTGAACCACATATTTAAAAGAAGAGGGGCAGATGATGTGTTTCTTCAAACTCTGAGACAACTTCACCCATCCACACATACAGGGCTTGATCTCACCTGCACAGGTGAGCCCGACCACAAACACTCTTTTCTATGAAGGTTTCGACTTTCAAAGCACAGTGAGTCAGTGCCTGACTCACTAGTGCAAGGACACTTGTTTCCTTGCAAGGAAATAAGGAATGGAAGCTTTCCACTTCCATTGCCATCACAATCCAATACTGGATAGAGTATTTCCCTGGGATCGGCTGAACAGCAGTATTTTCCTAACAAACATCACACAGCACCTCACTAGGTACAGAGGGGTTAAGCGTGAATGTCCACATCAACTTTCCTTACCATCTTGCAAAGACCTGTGCTGCTGCTTTTACTTCTCTGGCTGCAAGTGAAGACATCTCTGATTTCTTCAAGCCATAACACTCAACACTGTAATGCAATTTGCCCCACAAAATGACTTGCTTTACCAAATTGCTTTTATGAGGTAATTATCCAGAACATAAATGTATTGATAAGAATAGGAGAACTGTTTCAGGGTAAGCACAGTCACAACCTAGGATATGGTTGCATCATAACCCCCAATGTGTGTGTGTGTGTGTGTGTGTGTGTGTGTGTGTAAGCTGTCCGGCGTACACCTCTGCACATGCTCCCAGCCAACCACATCAGCCACAAGTACTGAGGTCGGCTGAGAGGAAAGTTCTAGTCCTCCAGTTGTTGTATACCCCTCTAGGACACTGGTTGGCAAGGACCGCCAGTGAGAAGATTTATGGTTTAAGAGAGCCCTACTCACAGGCTGATAGATCAACACACACAGAAAGGTCACTGTACCCAGAATTCTGACAAGAAAGCACCGGGCAAGAAGTCCTGCCATAAATACACTCACACATACCACATGAACAGAAAAATAGAAGGGCTAGGTACCACTCCAACTCAGCAAGATCCTGCAAAATGAAATGAAGGAGCTTTCTGCAAGAGAAGCAATGAGAGAAAACACACACACACACACACACACACACACACACACACACACACACACACACATCTAGAAGGCAGTAGTATTCCTGGCAAGGTTCAGCTGGAAAAACAGCAACAGATCTCAGAAGCAGAGCTGTAGCCAGGAATAAGCTCAGCTTAAGCCATGTTCAGTAAGGCCAGGATAACACTCCTGGAGGATTCAAGGACGGGCTGCCCTCTCCTCTGGGCCTCCAAGCTGAGCCATGACCTGTAGTCTACCACAAGTCACTCAACAAATACCAAATTCTCCTAAATGTTCCGGCCCTTTGAGTCACTGCGGAGAGATGAGGGGATTTCAGTCAGGCGGATGTCAGGCACTGCTGAGGCAATATAGACCATCTTCACACCACCAACCACATGCTGAGGATGCATTTCCCCTCCTTTCAAATGGTAGGAGAATCCCACAAGGCCACAGGAGTAATAAGTGGAGTCAGGCCCTGACCTCAATGCTGATTCCAAAGCCCAAGACGTCACATTACTACGCATAAACTATGGCTTCTGTCCTAAAGAGGCTTAAAATAATCTAAACCAATTAGAGATCAATACAGCCAATATAATGAAGGATTACAAACAAGTATCTTAAGATTTTAAAGAGAAGAGAGGGGAGCCTGGTTGGTTCAGTCCGGGGAGATGTGGGAGTCTTGATCTCAGGGTCATCAGATCAAGCTCCATGTTGGGTGTAGAGATTACTTAAAAAAAAAAAAAGAAGAAGAAGAGAAGAGAAATAAGTAGCTAGAGAAGACATTAGGGAAGAAGGAGGGTGTGAGCTCCTTCTCAGAGGATGGGTAAGATTTGCCCAGGGAGAGTAGGGAGGAGGGTGGGAGTTTCTAGGGGAGCAATCTGAGCAGTGACACTGCAGTGGGAATGAAGCCATCCCCCTTAACAGGACAGCAAGACCAAACTGCATAAAGCATGGAGATGTAAACTGAGCTGAAAATAGGATTTAGATAGGAGGGGTGAGGCCTGATTATGAAGGCCTTGAAAAATCAGGCAAATTATTTTAGACTTGTGACAGCAAATGGAGAGGAACTGAAGGTTGCAAGGCAAGGAAAGAGTTGAGGAAGTGATAGTTTAAAAAAATTAGATGGACAACAAAGGCTGAAGAGACCGGAAAGAGGAGCATCTCATTCATTCATTCATTCATTCATTCATTCAGCAAACAGACACTGAGGGCTTATTAAAAAAGCCAGGCTTGGGTGGCCAGTAAGAGGCTGCTCCAGTCTGCAGGAGAGGAAGGGTGAGGTTCTGGATGGAGGCAGGGATCTGTACAAATCACATTTCAAAGGTCTTGATGACTCACTGATATAAAGGATGGAGGAAATAAAGGAAAGAAATGGTTACAGATAATTCCAAAGGTTCAAGATTGACATGATTTCCACCTTTACTAGAAACCTCAAAAAGCGCTGCGAATAAAACAATGAAAATACAAAGAACTTTTATGATGTTGACCAGAAAAGAAAACCCCGCAAAAACCTGTTCTATATCCTGCCAGCTCATTTACACATAGTCTGTAGGTAAGAAACTTCAGTGAGAAAAACCACTTGTGTGTGACTAAATGCTGCGTTCCCTTGACAAGAAGCACAGACCTCTGCCTCCTCAGACAGGCTCCATCAACCCTCCACTATATCCCTCCATCATCTAAACTAAACCGATCTCATTAAGAAACCTGGCTGCTCACTCCTGCCCAGCTAACAGCTTTGACTTTGGAGAAGGGGCAAGCCAAAGTGGACAGGGTGGGAAACAGAAAGTTGGCAGGGTCGGTGTAGGGTGCTGGACCTTAGAGAAGAGGCAATGGTACAGGATATCATTTTAAGTAGAGAACCCCAGCACTGGTCTCATTTCTACACCCACTTCCAGGACAATCCCTGGTCCTCAGATAGGCAGGAAGGCCTTAAAGATTCCTTACCAAATTGAAAAAAAAAAAGAAAAAGAACGAAAGAAAGAGAGAGAGAGAAGGATTCTTTACCAAATTGCAGCACTTTATCCAGAAGTGATTTCATATGTGCATATCTATGCATACATTTACTCCTAGTACGGCTGGTATATGGTCAAGCAGAAATTCTTCTTAATAATTTACATGCTATGACACAAATTTCAAGCTCATTTTAATGTCACGTTCAGCAACAGTACAATTCATTATTGAGGCACATCCCGAAAGCCTACTCACTGGAAAATGCAAGAAATGAAAAGTGTAGCCATCAAACTTCTATTGCTACAAAGAGTGCTCTGGGCAAAAAACAAACAAACAAACAAACAAAAAACCCAAAAACAAAATAACAAAACCACACAAGAATGCAAGTCCCAATACCTTGGAGAAATCTAGTCTTGCATGCACAATTCAAGGCAGTATTCTCTCAGCATAGCCCAGCTTTGGCAAAAGCAGACCTTTACCTGATTATAAGTAGAAGTGAGTACTTTTTTCTCTGCGGAATGATGCCTCCCACTACTTTTATGTTTAAAAGTAAGACCTCTCAATGGTAGTGTCCAAGTCAGATTTGAACAGGCACATTACAAAAGAAACGGTTGCTCTGGGGGTAAAAAAAAAAAAGAAAGAAAGAAAGAAAGAAAGAAAGAAAAAAAAGAAACCCTTTAACATCCGTCTCATTACATCTACTCAGGTCCAGAAGAAATCAGAGCAGAAAAACAAAAAACAAAAAACTGAAAAATGGTTGCACATACGTGTGTGCGGATTCCTGCTAAGACCCCATATGGGACGGCCACAGGCCTAGTCAGGGAAATTCTAGGAATTTGGAAGGGGCTTCCACCTGGGCGGGGGGCTGCGCCGCCCGCAGCACCGGAACGCAAACAGCCCCCAAGCCCTCCAGACCCCCAGCCATCCGGAGTTTCCATGCCGGGAGGGCGAGAGCCACACGACGGCGGAGAGAAACTACAGCCCAGCAGCGTCTCCGTCTCCTCCCGGCCCCGGGCGGGGGCCCCGGGCGGGGGCCCCGGGCGGCGGTGCCTCGGCAGCTGCAGCTCTCCGCGCCCCGTGACAGGTCGCCCCGCACAAGCCCCTTGCCTCCCGGGCCCCACTTACCCGCGCCGCGGACGCAGGCGGGGGCCCGCCCCTGCGGTGAGCGCGGCTCCTGGGCGGCGGGGGCGCAGCGGCCCGCAGGGCACCCGGGGAGGGGGGCGACCGCCGCTAGGACCGGCCGCGCGGTCCGTGCGGGGACGCCCGGGCGCTCCGGAGGGTCGCACGGGCCGCGCGGCGCATGGTGGAGCAGCAGGAACCCGGCCGCTCTCCAGCCTCCGGCAGAAAAACAAACAAAAGGCAGGGAGGCTGCTAGCGGGGACGACCGGGCGCTTTCCCTGGGAAAAGTTACCCTGCAGCTCCCCTCGCTGGCCCTGCGCGTCCCTGCACCGCGTCCAGGCCGCCGCGGCCGACCGAGCCCGGGGAGCCGCGCCCCCGCCGACCACCCCGGCGCCCCGCCCCGCGCCCCGCCCCCGCCCCCGCCCCCGCCCCGCGCCCCGCCCCGCCCCACGCACGCCTTTTCTGCAGGTCGGCTGCATCCCGCCCGCATCGGGACGCAGAATGGGAGGCCGCGCGCACAGGTTCTGAGGACGTTTCATTACAGGTTGATGCTCATGGTGAAAAATCTTCTCCCCCGGCTTAAAAAAAACGTAACCCGGGGATGCACCTTGTGAATGAGATCAATGCCCCTGAAACGTTACGCTCCAACCTGGGGTAAGACGGCAGATGGTGTTGGATTTTCCCGCAATAAAATACAGATAGATACATTTATATCTATATATATTTTACTTTTGATGAGAACGCAAGGGATTGCCTGGGAGGATTCACTGGAACTTGAAGAGTTTTATAGGTAGCAACTTCAGTTTGAAAGACTGGATTGTCACCCAGGTGGGAAGCCGACTAGATAGTATCTAATGCAACAATTGTCCTCTGTGCGTAACAAGTTATATGCAATCTAATACTTGCACTGGTGTGTTAAACACACTCACTTGTGTCATAAATTATGTTGTAGACAGTACCTTAAATCATTCATATAAAGACGGTCCTGAAGTGACTTGAAAAAAAAAAAAAACTGCTTCAAGCCTCCCCCCCCCACCCCCGCATTTAAATTTAAACGATTGCCCCAAGACTTTATATCTTTCAGAACTAGTTTAATGCCCATAGCAGAGGGGGCAACTTTACTTGGAGGCATCGGAATCATTTGGGGGCTTATGAAAACAGATTGCTGGGCCTTTTTCCCAGAATTCTGGTGCTGATGCTTTTGGTCCAGGGAACCATATTGCCCTAAGCAACACACTTTTCATCAATAAAGCAATAGCCCATTTACACATTGTGGGTCTTTCTCTGAGTTTAAATTTTCCAGCTCATCACCATATCGATTTTCTCTCCTTTTATTTTTGAATTCTAAGAACTCAAGGCATTGTTTTTGTTTTTTTTTTTTTTCCTAAAAGAATCTATATCAAAGACCTGAATCCCTCACTCTTCTTCCTCCTATTGAAAAAACCTGCAAGATGCAAGATTTCCCTTCCCAAATGGGAAAGGATCATCTGGCCTCTTGGCAAATGTATAACATTGATCTTTGTGTTTACCTATGTAACACCCAAACCATTTGGCAAACGGAAATTGAAAGTCTTTATCAACGAAAAGAGAGAGAGAGACAACAGGGGTAGCCTAACAAATTATGTACTGCTCTGGTGAAGAGTGATTTTTAAAGTATCTAAAATTAACAGTTTTAGTCAAATTCAGTTGTCCATGCAAGTCTACCCAGCAAATAGAGGGACTCTCTTGGTCTACCTTTAGCAAGGGTCCACTGAGCTAAAATGATTTAGGTCAGGAAAATTATAATCCTGTAAATATAATATAATAGGATAATACAAACCTGAGGTGTAGTGGATACAGCAGGTACTGGTCTAAAATAGAAAATTAGTAATTGAAACATAACAGCAGTTTAATAAAATAGGTGCTTAATTTATCCTGATGAATACTAATTATTATTTTATGAGGCTTTATTATTAGCTAGAATAGAAATTATCTGTACTAACCAAGATATCTTAAATTAGCATTCAACATGTTCAATGAAATTGAGTAGTTCTGAAAACATTTCCATCTGCCTCATTCTTCATTTGCAAAACTGATCTTTTGTGTTTGTGAATCACATTCATCAATCTCCGGTTATAAATCCTTACAACTGACCCCCCCCCCCGCCCCCATTTAAATTGCAAAATCCAATTTTAAAGAGGTCTTGGGAGGAAAGTCAAGTTTAAAAGACTTAAGTTTCCTTTTAAAATTAAAAACTTAGATTTTTTTTGGCCTTCGTTAAACATGAAGGTACTTTTTCTAAGTGGCTGATTTGGGGGGCAAATAAAAACACACATTCGAAGGGTGGATCCTAATATTTAAAAATAGCAGCTGGGGTTCCTTATTGCAGCTCACCATTTTGCCATCTCCCCCCCACCCTTTTTTTACTATTTTTTTTTGCCGAACGTACTGCATTTCTAATACCTCCAGAATATAATAGTGGATAAGAGGTTTAAACTCAGTGGGCTCGTTGGACTAGCGTCTTGGAAATCTGATCACTGTTAGTACCTGACGCCTGGTAGAAATCGTAGAAACTCAATGTTTGCCAAATGAAGACAAGAGCCTGTAAGACTGTAGGTTTCCACAGAGCATACAAACTTCCGTATTCAAAATAAGGTAAAATGTGGAAAAATAATGAATTGCCTGATAGAGTGTCTTCTTAGGAAACAAAGTCGGGTGTTTGGCCTTTAAGAGGTGGGACTAGTATCGCGAGTAAGTTCCGGCGCTCCGGCGGAACAGCGGACTACGAATCCCAGAGTACACCGCGGGCGCCGTCTCCGCAGAACTGGAGTTTCAGGGCCTTAGGAGCCTCAACGTCTTTACCCCATTGCATGATGGGATCTGTAGTAAGACTTGGCTCGCGGTGTCATTACCTGCCCCCTGCTTCTCTCCTAAGCCTATCTTTTCCTCAACCTCCAGATCCATGCTTTCAAAAAGTTTAGTCATTGTAAGAGCCTGTGACTGTAGTGGAGTTTTACTGTTTCCCTGCATTCCTGGCATGGGACTCCAGACAGAACCCCCGAAAAGCGTGTTAGCGAGCTTACCGAGCACCAAGTGGATGCTCGACTTAAGGCAAGTTTGCCTTAGGGTCTCAACCCTAAATTTGAGTCATAAACGTTTTTTTAGATAATGTTTAGATAAAGTTTGCATTAAGGGGGTCACTGCGACACATACGTGGGCTCAAAGTGGGGTCGGCAAATTGGGGACCTGACGCAACGCCGCCTCGCAGACAGTAGGCCGACGGCGCCGATCCCTCCACTAGGCAGCGCACGCGAGGCGGGGGTAGCAGTGAGGCGCACGCAGGCGGCGGCGGCGGCGGCGGCGGCACTGCGCATGCTCAGTGCGTCGACCCAGGTTTCCGCAGTAGAGGGGGCAGCTCCGCCGCGGCGTCCGGGGTTTCCAGCAGCGCCGCCGCTCGGTGCTCGCACGGTCCTCGGCCTCGGCTGGCAGCGGGCGTCCCTCCGCTCCGCGACTTCCCGGCCGTCGCTCTAGCGCGCCCGGATCTGGCCCCCTGCCCCGCGAAGATGGCTGCCGTACGCCGGGCCCGCAGTTACTGCCGCTGCCTGGTGCGCTTCTCCGACCGAGAACTCTGCTAAGCCCCGTTGCGGCAGACGGGCCGGAGTAGGCACCCGGACACCCAGCACACCTCCTCGGGGGAGCGGTGCGGAGGGGGCGCGGAGAGGCCCTCGCCCGCGGCCGGCTGCCCCGCCAGCATGGTAACCCGGGAGGGGGCTCGGGGGGGGGGCGGGGGGCACCCAGAGAGGCGCGAGTGCGGCGTGCGGAAGGGGTCGGGCCTGGGAGGAGCCCCGAGAGAGCGGGAGTGGAGCCTGAGGGGTGGGAGCTGCTCGGCCGCCACCCACCGCAGGGCCCTCGGCCTGAGCGGGAGGCGAGCGGGTGCCAGCCCTGACGGTGGCCGGGCCCCGGCGTGGGGCAGAGCGGGGGTGCAGGACCCAGAGCAGAATGCCCCTTCTTGGTTCGCTGAGGACCCCGGACCGGCCTTGCCCCTCCCGAGGGGTTTTATTAAAAGCGGTGAGCATGGGTTGAGGTGAGCCGTTGCAGCGTCTGAAATCGGCGGGGGTGGGGGTGGGGGTGGGGGTGGGGACGGAATGGGGAACCTGGCAAACCCAGACACTTGTTGATTCCTCCCCCCACCCCCCACCCCCCACCCCGGAAAGCGGTACCGACGGAGAGAGAACGCGTCCAGATCCTTTGAGGAGCGCCTGGATTTAGGACGCACCTGCCCGGTGGCTCTGCGGCCCTGGAGGTGTGCGGTCCCACTCCGTAGCGGGGAGGGCCTGGGCAGCGTCGGTGCGGTCCAGAGGAAGACAGATGGAGTTAAGCTCCAGAAACTGACGACGCGAATTCCACGGGACGATTGCATGCTGGAATCTTGTAGTCTCTGCCCTGTGCTGCCTTTCTTTGGTTTTGAGAAAATTTCCTCCCTGAAAAACTAATCTCTGGCTGGGATGAAATGAATCAAGTGTGAAATGATACCAACTACTGAGTTCATCGTAGGCACACAAATATTTATTGAATAAATGGATGGCTGAATGTATTTCATGAAGTTAACCTGGAGGATAGAAGAAGCAGTAAGGGACTATGCCCTTAAGCGTTCAGAAGTAGTTTCCCTGATCAGGATTAAACACTTAACTTTTTTTTTTTATATTTCATTGATCCCATGTGTAAAACAGGAGTAAAATGCCAGAGACACGAACTACTCAAGCGAAAGGTGCTGTTTAGGTCGGACTCAGCTGTGAAAATCTCTGGGTGACAGCTGGGACCTACTTCTTTCAAGTGGTATTTGAGTTGGCAAAATGTAGTAATACCCCTAATTTGATGTCTTTGTGCTGCCAGAATTAAAGTCATAAAGGATTAAGAATTCAAGAATAACACAGGAACTCAGGGGAGAAGATGCTTTCTGTATCATAGATTTCTCTCTCTTTTTTTTTTTTCCTTGAGGTATGCACATGACTTTTTATTTGTTGATTCAGGCAATTTTTTGGAGCACTTATTAGCAGCCTGACATTGTGCTAGACCTCCAGCACAACATTAGATATTTGGTATAACCAAATAACTCTCCCAAGGTGATTTATGGTAAACTTAACCATAGAATGTCAGCTATGAAAAGGGACCTCAGAGGTTGCCACATCCAACGCCCTCTCTTTACAGATGTGAAAGCTGAGGCCTAGATAGACTTTTACCATGACTCAAGCAATGTGTTTGGCCCTCTGAGATTACAGACATGACTGATCCTTGTTCCCAATGCACTAACTCTAGGGAAGAGACAAAATAATGTTAATGCAAGTGTT